TCGAAGCTCTATTTCCTATAAGGGCTGGATTCTTACAAAATACTTTGGGGCCCAGTGCTATGGTTTGGAGGGTAACGCTGCCACCTGCAGTGCCAGCATCCCACATGGGCCCTGCTTTGAGTCCTGGCTGCTCCCCTTCCAGTCCAGCTCCCTGCTCATGTGCCCAGGAAAGCAGCAGGAGATGACCCAACTCCTTGGCCCCTACACCTACTAGGAGACCTGGATGAAGCTGCCGGTTCCTGGCTTAGGCCTGGCCCAACCACGGCTGTTGCAGCCATTTGGTGAGTGAACCAGCAGACAGAAGATTCTCCTTCTCTCCCTCCCTCTCTCTCTCTCTCTTTTTTTTTGGACAGGCAGAGTGGACAGTGAGAGAGAGAGACAGAGAGAAAGGTCTTCCTTTTGCCGGTGGTTTACCCTCCAATGGCTGCCACAGCTGGCACACTGCGGCCGGTGCACCACGCTGATCCGAAGGCAGGAGTCAGGTGCTTCTCCTGGTCTCCCATGGGGTGCAGGGCCCAAGGACCTGGGCCATCCTCCACTGCACTCCCGGGCCACAGCAGAGAGCTGGCCTGGAAGAGGGGCAACCGGGAAAGAATCCGGTGCCCCGACCGGGACTAGAACCCGGTGTGCCGGCGCCGCAAGGCGGAGGATTAACCTAGTGAGCCGCAGCGCCGGCCTCTCTCTCTCTGTCTTTCTCCCTCCTTCTCTCTCCCTCTCACTCTCTCTCCCTCTCCACCCCTCCCCGACTCTGCTTCTCCCTCTCTGTAATGCTTTCAAACAAATTCTAAACAAGTAAAAAACCCAGAAATAAAACAATGCACATTAAAAAATATCTTTTACCCTTCTCCTCAGAGCCAGGATTTAGACAGGTAAGTTATTTTTTTTGTTTGTTTGTTTTGACAGGCAGAGTGGACAGTGAGAGAGAGAGACAGAGAGAAAGGTCTTCCTTTGCCGTTGGTTCACCCTCCAATGGCCGCCACGGCTGGCGTGCTGCAGCCGGCGCACCACACTGATCCGAAGGCAGGAGCCAGGTGCTTCTCCTGGTCTCCCATGGGGTGCAGGGCCCAAGCACTTGGGCCATCCTCCACTGCACTCCCTGGCCACAGCAGAGAGCTGGCCTGGAAGAGGGGCAACTGGGACAGGATCCGATGCCCCAACCGGGACTAGAACCCGGTGTGCCGGCGCTGCTAGGCGGAGGATTAGCCTATTGAGCCGTGGTGCCGGCCTGACAGGTAAGTTATTTATTATGTTCTTGTGGAACGTTTTTTCCCTTCTTTATCCAAGTGGAGTGTCATGTTTTGGGTCTCCAATCTGAACTCCCTCATATCGGTCCCAGGCTTAGTCCCCTGCCCCTGTAAACAGCCTTTCAACTTCTAGGCTTTCAACTGGAGACACAAGATGCTCATATCTCCTGACCTACTAACATCTAAGGAAATTAATCACAGAGGGAAAAAAATACTAAGGTGTTTCTTTTCTTCCTGTGCGATAGAAATATTTATTTGGTGAGCTTGTGGAATCTATGCAGAATAGTAACAAATCTCAATATGTATACAAGTATTGAGACAGATCATCAGGGGCCAGTGCTGTGCCATAGTAGCAGGCTGAGCTTCTACAGCACCGGCATCCCATAAGGGCGCTGGTTCGTGTTCCCAGCTGTTCTTCCAGTCCAGCTCTCTGCTGGTGGTCTGGGAAGGCAATAGAAGAAGGTCCAGGGGCTTGGGCCTCTGCACCCTCATGGGAGACCCAGGGGAAGCTCCTGGCTTCGGATGAGCCCAGCTCCAACCACTGCAGCCATCAAGTGAACCAGCAGTTGGAAGACCTCTCTCTGTCTCTCCCTCTCTCTCTGTGTAGCTCTGTCTCAAATAAATAAATCTTTTAAAAAACAACAAAAGCAGCAGCAGCAGATAATCAGAGGAAAAGAACCATAACTTCCATAGGAGAATTCCTGTTAAAATCACTGAGAGTCCTGACTTGGCATCAAACATGGAGGTACTAAGATGTAGGAACCAGAGAATGATTAATCAACTTCCCACAAGTTTCTAATAAAGTTCCAAACTGAAGCCATTTTTTAAAAAAATTTGTCAGCTCAGAGCCTCACTTATGTGTGTGCATTCACAAATACCCACTAACCCCTGGATCTGAAAATGCCAAGTTCACATAGGTATCGGGCTTTGTGACTGAGCAGAAGAGTGGCAGGTGAGAGTCGCTGCAGGCAGGCACAAATTTGAAGCAACACAACAACAAAATGGGAAAGTGAAACAGATCACAGCGCCCTGTCTCACACATCCCAAAACCAGTCCAGCACAGACCTCCCATCTCAACGACTGCAACAAAATGCCCCTCACTAAAGAGATCCTCCCATCTCCACGTTGGCTGTGTGATCCGTTCTCCAACTTCACTTAGGCTGTTTGAAAACCAATATCCCACCCGGTTAACGTCCTCCGAAGGATTCCTGCACCTCCATGGATATGACAGAAAGTCCTGGATGGCCGGCCCCCTCCCAGCCTCACGTCCCACCGCCTCCCCCCCACTCTCCATCCCAGCACCCAGGACCTGCACCTCCTTTGCGCTTCTGACCTATCACATTTCTCCTGGGATGGGCTCTTCTATTCCCTGTGGCCTCACTCTGCTCTCTACCTAGTTAGCCTCACCCACCCCTCAGCCCTCCCTCCCAAGGTCCCCTCTGTGGGAAGGCCCACCCCCCCAGGACTCCCATTCACTCTCAGAGCATTGCTGTGTAAGCGTCCCGTGCCTGTGACAAATAACTGTAAACATGCTGTCTTAAAACACCATGCAAGATTTTTCTCTTACAGTTCTGGAATCCGAAGTCTAGGCCATTTTCACTGGACTATAGGGAAAGTAAACCATGGCCTTGGCTTTTTCAGGCTCTGGGGGCCACCTGGGTTCCCTGGTTTGCAACCTCTGCCTCCATCCGCAGTGGCAGTCACTCCGGTCTCTGCTTCCACTCTCCGGGGGCCTTCTCTCTTGACTAAGACCCTCTGGCCTCCCTCTTTAAAGACCCCAGTCCTTACAACAGGCCTACTTGGAAACCTATGATAATCTATGCATCTCAAAACCTTTAACTTTATCACATCTGTAAGGTCTCCTTGGCCATATAAAGTGACATATTAACAGGTTTCAGAGATTAGGGTGTAGAGATGTTGAGGGGACCATAACTCCGCCCACCACAACCAAGAGCTCTTCCTTCCAAAAGCTCTCATCACCATCAGCAGTAATAGCATGAGGAGTCATCAAAGGATTCGTAAAAAATGGATTAAAATATAAGTGTACCTTAGTACAAAATATTTTGAACTGCATGCAATTTTTTTCATAATACACATTTTTCTATGAACTCAAATGTACAGATTTCAAAACTGTTTGCATGGGGCCAACGGTGTGGCACAGTGGTTAAGCCACTGCTTGCAACACCAGCATCCCATATCAGGGTGGCAGTTCAAGTCCCAGCTGCTCCATTTCTGACCCAGCTTCCTGTTAATGTGCTTGGAAGGCAGCAGATAATAGCCCAGTTACATGGGCTCCTGCCACCCATGTGGGAGACCAGGATGGAGTTCTTGGCTCCTGGCTTCAACCTGGCCCAGACCTGGCTGTTGCAGTCATTTGAGGAGTGAAACAGTGCAAGGTCAGCATTGTGGCATAGTGGGTAAAGCTTCTGCCTGTGATGCCAACATCCCATATGGGCACCAATTCAAGTCCTGACTGCTACACTTCCAATCCAGCTCCCTGCTAATGCACCCTGGGAAAGCAGCAGAGGATGGCCCAAGTGCTTGGGCTCCCACACCCAAATGGGAGACCAGGACAGAGTTCTTGGCTCCTGGTTCCAGCCTGGCCTAGACCTAGCTATTGCAGTCATTTAAGGAGTGAAACAGTGGGTAGAAGATATTCTTTCTCTCCCTCCCTTTCAAAATTCATTAATTAACTAATCTTAAAACAAAACAAAACATGGGGCCAGCATTGTGCCATAGTAGGTAAAGTGATAATGGCATCCCATATGGGTCCTGAGTCAAGTCCTAGCTGTTCCACTTCCAATCCAGCTCCTTGCTAAGAAGAAGGTGACTCAAGTGCTTGGGCCCCTGTACCCACGTGGAGACCTGGAAGAAGCTCTAGGCTCCTGGCTTTGGCCTAGTCCAGTCCTGGCCATTGTGGCCATTTGGGGAGTGAACCAGCAGATAGAAGATTTTTCTCTTTCTTTCTCTCTCTAACTCTGCCTTTCAAGTAAATAAATAAATCTTTAAAAAAAATTGCACCAAAATAAGCTTATTTTTCCATTCCATTTCCCATGAACTTTTTAAAGAACCTTGGGATAGCACATGCTTATTTGTCTTTAAAGATTCATTTATTTGAAATGCAGAGTTACAAAGGGAAAGAGAGAGAGATCTTCCATACCCTGGTTCACTTCCCAAATGACCTCAACAGCCAGGGCTGGGCCAGGCCAAAGCCAGGAGCATGGAACTCCATCTGGGTGTCCCACCTGGGTGACAGCGGTCCAAGTGCTTGGGTCACCCTCCGCTGCTTTCCCAGGCGCATTAGCAAGGAGCTGGATCAGAAGCAAAGCAGTACTCACATGGGACGCTGATGTCGCAGGCGGCAGCTTTAACCAGCTGTGCCACAACGCCAGCCCACGCATGCGCTTACTTAGCTCGTGGTTTGATCAATGGTCGTCAAACCCCTGGACTATAAACTCTGTAAGGATAAGAGCACTCTGGCTTTTGTTCAGTACTTGATCCTCAGCCCTAGAGCAGCACTCAGTATCTACTTAATGGACAGAAGGATTTTTATCCAGTCTCTGAAAACCGTAAATATGAACAAGTGGTAACACACCACGTGGGCCCTTCCTACTCCGTTTGCTGGTTTCACTTTGTGCCATGAATAAAAACCAAAAGGGAAAAATCAATGCAGAGCTCATAAAGAGCTTCAACCAGAAAAATTTTTAATAAATTACAAGTAATAAGTTAACTGAAATAATTTATACATTTACTTACTTAGTATCCAAAAGCTGCAGCTGGTGGTTACTGTCTCTGTGGGACATCTTCAGTTTAGTGCTTTGCTCTGATATTGACAAGTCAACTCTGTTCAAAAGCTGAGAAATCTGGAAAAGAAACCTTGCTTATAAGTGCCATATCTAACCTCTTCAGATGTAACTTCAGAAATCATTCAGGAAGCTATATGCTATCCACGGCATTCAATTCAATCTAATTTCATAAATTCATTTAGGAGTTCACCTCGTCTTGCCAATTCCATTTTCTTTCTTACACATCCATCAAAAGTCAAGGCCAGCAGCCCTGCCAAAATATCCATCATGCACTGATCATTTAACTTTATGGCTCTCTGAGAAGCAAGCCCAACTCCTGCTTGGGACCATGACTTCCATCTGAGCATGAAACACAGCCCTCTCCTGACCTTGGAATTTCTCCCATGAATGTGGGCGGCTGCTAGTCACAGAGAATGGAATTTTATGGCTTACAAAGCCCATCAAGGGGGTGAGTATTTGGCACAGCGGGTCACCCACATCCCATACCAGAGTGCCTCAGCTCAAGGTCCCAGCTCAGCTTTCAATTCCAGCTTCCTGCTAATGAGCACCCTGGGAGGCAGTAAGTGATGACTCAAGTACTTGGGTCCCTGCCACCCAAATGGGAAACCCAGATGGAGTTCCAGGCTGCTGGCTTTGGCAGCAGTACCAAGTACCCAGTACCCATTACTGAGGGCATTTAGGGAACAAATCAGTGGATCGAAGATCTCTTTATTTATCTGGTTTTAAAATAAAATGTTTTAAAAACTCCATCAAGGTGCCAGATTTACCTCTGCATCAGGTGAAGTCACTAGCAACCGTACTTTATAGATATGAGACTCCTGCTTCTTTCTTCCCTGCTCTTTTTACTAAAATTTCATATAAAACGAGTTCTCTGTGCAAAGTCTGCTTTTCCTGCAAAAACTGGTGCTAAATGATCCTTACTTGAAGATTCATGGCATTTGTCAAATACAGAACAAAGAAAAGTATGCAACTTTGGGTGAATTTCTTTGTGTTCTAATTGGCTTGGCTACAGGGAAGTTTAAGACTTCCTTAGCATCTATTTTCTTGGGCAATAATTCTACCTTAACTGATTCTTCAAAGAAAAAAAAACTGCCTCTATTTTACTGGAATAGCTTTCTCTTTAAGTGACGTACAGCAAATAAGACAGATATTGCGGGAGAAGTCCTGGAAGGTGGCACCATGATGCCGTCAACAGCCAAAAACGACACTGTGAAATACCAAGAGTTTTGCTTTGTGAAAGTAACCTCTGAATCAAGGTAGGATACCCCCAAAATCATTAGCCCGCCTATCCCCTAGCTTTGTCCTGACTTTGTCCCACTGCAACACGTGTGATGAACCCCAGTGAATACAGTAACTGTTTCCTGAACCCAACACCAGGACGAGCAGCATGACAGAGAATGCTGGGTCACTTCCACATGCAAGAGGTAGTTTGGGACACATACTTTAGAGTTTCTGGAATACATCAATTGCTTGAGGGATAAGAAGAAAGAAAGAACTTTTACAACTAAGACTTTATGAAAAAAAATCTTAGTGGCTTGGTCATCAGACGTGGGAAGGGCCACTCTCGTAAAACAGAGGAAGGAGTAGAGAAAGGAGATGCTTGGGAGTTGCAGAACCCAAGCAGGGGCCCCAGTTGGTTCCTCCTTCAAGAAATGATCAGTGCCACATCATTCTTGGAACAAATGACCTGCTTTTGAAAGTTACCCGAAACACGCCTCACCTGTCCCTCTGCATCTTTGATCTTCGTCTCCAAGATGAGTTTGGCAGCTTGCTGCTCTTTGTTCAAGTGCTGGAGCCCCTCATAGGTTGATTTGTGCTCTGCAGAGAGTCGGGCTATGCTGGCGTCACATCTGTCCAGGCAAGTAACAGAGCTCATGTGCATTAAAGCTTAAAAACACGCACCAGTGTGTCCTGACACACAATAAAATGCAAAGCAACTGCACTATCAATCATTCTTTTTAACAGAGGCACAAATGGGTTCATCAGAGAGCTGTCCTCATTACGGTTTTGAAGCTAACACATAGGGATGTTGCTTAATAAGATGAGCAATGTAACCATCAAAGAGGCTATGGTTTGACAATGCCCATGAGTAGAACCCAGTGTGTGCACTGAGAGCCCAATTACAGAAAAGCCCAGGATCTGGGGCTCTGCAGTACCCTCCGCCCTTAACAGCTGGATGCTTCCTTGGGTTTCAGCAGCAGCTTCCACCATACTTGAAAGCATTTCTTCTTTTTTACCAAATCCCTTGTAAGGCTGGATGCGTCAGATGGGTTCCAGAGCGGCGGAAGGCTCTAGCTGGTCCACGCTGTAACAAAAGCTGCTCTGCCCATGAGTCTTACAGCTCAGCAGATCCAGTGATGCTCGAAGTACCTGCGGCAGATAAGCTGGGTATGACACCCCGTCAGGTCCCAGGAAGGGAGTCACAGAATGGACCCTGCTCCAGGACAATCGTGCCTGCTTTGAGAAGAAGCTGCTGGCTTGCTGTGTGGCTCCAGGAGAGAACGCTCACACACAGGACATGAGAGGACCCAGCAATCTGGACAGGCCACTGGGAGCACAGCAGTTCACGAAGGTGGGCAGACGAGCACCACTCCAGCTTCAAGGGGAAGGGAGGTACAGGCATCAGGCTTGAGCAGGTCCCAGAGGCACAGGCGAGTCACAGGAGCCTGGACGCCCCTGGCCTCCACTCCTGCTACTGTGCCAGCGCTCCAACCCACACCCATCGCTTCTCCAAGAACCTGTAGCTTCTGGAAGAATTCCTGATGACCAGGTGAAATGCAGGAGAAAAACTCGGGTGTGGATTCCAGATGGTCACATCCAATATGCTGGCACCAGCTAGCAAAAGACTGCTGATACGTGGAGATCCACTCGGGAATGTAGACACTCAGGAAGGGAAAAGATGATGGCAGATTTCAGACACATCTAGCGATTAATTTTACCTAGAGTAAGAGACGGCCAGACACTCAGAGGAAGTGGTTAACAGTAAGCGACTTGGGAAGGAAAATGAAGGACCTGTGAGAAGGTGCTGGGGCTGCCTACTTGGATCCCTCCTGAATGACAAGACACTGCTGCCCTCTGTCAGGGCTCTGCATCTGAGCCCTGAGGCATAAGTCAGTGCCATTTTATAAGGGAACATACACAATTTTAACCATCCCTGGATCGCTGTGATTTTTACCTTTCATTCTTTTCTAAGTCGTACAAATCCTCTAAGATAAATATGTGTGATAAATACGTTCAAAGGACGCATTATAACTGCATGGAACACGCATCATCCTACTATCTCTGCCCAGCAGAAATGAGGCTGGATTACAAGGAGGCCCCAGCCCAGCTAGACACATAGGATAGAGCCACTGTCATTAAAAGGTCAGGTTCAAGGTAGCAGAGTAGAGGAGGCAGTGGTTAGAGCCCCACTCCAGAATTCACTCATTCATAAACATTTACAGAATGTCCAGAGGATGTCAAATACTATTCCACAAAATGAGGATACAGTAGAAACTTTTTCTCTCCAATACAAATGCCACACTGTCTAGAATTTTAAAAATATTGTTATGTCTCCATTAGCACAATGTTATTCAGCTTGCATGTGCATGTGCCTTGTATTGACAGGGATTACATCTGACATCTTGCCCTTGCTCATCACTCCACCAAGTCAGACAAAAGGGCCCCGGCAACTAGTTGGGAATTTGCTGAATAAGTCATTGTAAATGTACACTGAGAAGAAGCCTGTGCCAGTTCCACTTTCAGTAAATTGGCAACCTAGAGTCTTCTGAAAGCTCTCAGAATGTACATCTCAAGATGTATAATTGCCCTAAGGTCTCAAAGAAGTTCATGAATCCTTCCCTAAATGACAAAGATACTGAAAACAGTCTCCACTCACTAAATTGCACAGATTTACTGCAATCAACTATCGAAATCAGCATATTAATTGAAAAGGTGAAAATACATATCTCCAAAAGCTAAGGGGAAAAAACTGTTACTGATCTCTAGGTCACTGCCACCCATGTGGGAGATCTGAGTTCCTAGTTTCTGGCTCTGGCCTGGTCCAGCCTTGGCTGTTGCAGGCATTTGGGGAGTGAACCAAAGAATGGGAGATCTCTTCTTGTCTGTCTGCCTCTCCCCCTCCCCTTTTAAATGGAAATAAAAATAACTAACTTTTAAAAATCTTTAAATGGGGGTTGGCGCAGTAGGTTAATCCTCTGCCTGTGATGCCAGCGTACCATATGGGCACCACTTCGTGTCCTGGCTGCTCTTCTTCCAATCCAGCTCTCTGCTGTGGCCTGGGAAAGCAGTAGAGGATGGCCCAAGTCCTTGGGCCCCTGCACCCGCATGGGAGACCAGGAGGAAGCTCCTGGCTCCTGGCTTCTGATCGGTACAGATCTGGCCGTTGCAGCCATTTGGGGAGTGAACCAACGGAAGGAAGACCTTTCTCTCTGTCTCTCCCTCTCACTGTCTGTAACTCTACCTCTCAAATAAATAAATCAAATATTAAAAATAAAATCTTTAGAATGAATTGCAGTAATGGTTACACAACTCTGTGAATACTCTAAAATAACTGAATTGCATACTTTGAATACGTGACTTATGTGGTATGCAAATTATACCTCACTAAATCTGTTCATAAAGACAGAAGAGAGGCAGAGTAGGGACTAGCACTGTGGTGTAGCAGATAAAGCCGCTGCCTGCTGTGCTGGTATCTCATATAGGCGCCAGTTCAAGTCCCAGATGCTCCACCTCCGATCTCGCTCTCTGCTATGCCTGGAAAAGCAGTAGAGGATGACCCAAATTCTTGAGCCCCTGCACCAGTGTGGGAGACCCAGAAGAAGTTCCAGGCTCCTGGCTTTGGATTGGCCCAGCTTTGGCCATTGCAGCCATTTACGAAGTTAACCAGTGATGGAAGATCGATCTCTTTGTCTTTCTTTCTCTTTCTCTTTCTTTCTCTCTCTTTCTCTCTCTCTCTCTGCCTCTCTGTAACTGTCTGCCTTTCAAATAAATAAATCTTTAAAAAAGAAGAAGAAGAGGAAAGGGACCAAGCATCACTGTTGGACCTTGGGGTGCACTGTGCCACCCTTAAAGGGCTCCTCGTATTATCCTACTCCAATTCCCGATATGCACCAGGAGGAAACTTATGCACCTGCCTCAGCATGCACTGTCTGTAAGGCTCTAACAATGCAAACCAGAGCAGCTGCTGAGTCTTGGGGAAAATTCTCAGTAGAAAGCTACACTCTTCGAGCTCTTCCTTAGGAAGAAACAGGAAACTTGTCTGATCAAGTCTTGTTTAGGGTATCCCATGCTTAGCATGGTAAATGTGTCTCTAGCTTCCACAGAGAACATGGCTTTGCCCTTCCAAGCTGGATCTAAGAGGAAAAACCAGGAACTGTTTCCTATTAATCATATTACTTGACAGATCCATAAAAAAAATAAAATTAAATATTAAGTCATACAACATCCTAGTAATTTAGGTATATCACTTAAAAAGTTCATACCCTTCTGATACAATTACATAATCAATTCAAGAAAGTTAAAACTTTGCCAAGGAATTTTTATTTTATAAGAAGTCACTTCAACAGTCAAAGCCTCATTGGCATTCCAGGGGAAAGACAAATACAGCCAGGAAACAAAGCAAAAGTATTTGTTACTTTAAGATTCCTGAAAGCATTTCAAAATAGTTTCTCTGGAGGCTGGCACTGTGGTGTAGTGAGTAAAGCCACCTCCACCTGCAGTGCTGGCATCCCACATGGGTGCCAGTTCAAGTCCCAGCTGCTCCACTTCTGATTCAGCTCTCTTCTGTGACCTGAGAAAGCAGTTGAAGATGGCCCTCGTGCTTGGGCCCCTGCACCCGTGTGGGAGACCCAGAAAAAGCCTCTGGCTCCTGGCTTCGGATTGGCCCAGCTTTGGCCATTGCGGCCATTTGGGGAGTGAACCAGCAGATGGAAGGCCTGTCTCTCTCTCTCTCTCACTCTTTTTCTCTCTCTCCATCCCTCCCTCCCTCCCTCCAACCCTGTCTTCCTAATAAATAAATAAACATTTTAAAAAATAATAACTTCTCTGTTTTAGAATCAACAACATGAAGGTAACGTCGCTGATGCTGCTTGCTTTGCTGCCTGCTCGCTCTTTCCCAGGTGGTACAGTGAGCCCCACATGTATCAGCTCACTTAACTTCATCTGCAACTACAGGGGCCACAAAAGCCCTCCAAGTTCTCCTGAGCGCCCCACTCCGCCCAGGAGCTCTGAATGTCTTCCAGTGCCTGACTGCTCTGGAGCTGGGGTTTCGTTAAAGCCAAATTCCACAAAAAAGATTCAAGGATCTCCTGGTCCCGTGACAGTGATTTTCTCTTCTATTTTGTGATGGTGGAAAAGAAAAAAAACATATATTTAAAGTTAGCCGGCTGGAGTGAACTGAGATGATCCCCATTTTGTTGGCCACATTCAAAACCTCCCAATCAGGAGCCAAGAGACCATATGCCTTCTCCTCTCCATCAGGCCTGATCAGGGTACTGACCTTGGCCAGGTCACTATCATAGTTTCTTTGCAGCTGGTTTTTGGCCTTGACATCCACGATGAACAGGAGAGCACTGTGGTCTCCGTCCTCTTCATGGCAGACTCAGGGGACCCTGACAATGGCACAGTCGTCAAGTTCATTTCCCCTGGGAGTGCTCTTCCAAGGCTGTCTGGGCCGCCTCCGGAGCGGCAATGTCTTTGGTTGCCAGAAGGCGGCTGACACGAGGATCTCTTCTTTGTGGCTGTGGACTCTTTGCTTTGGCTTCAGCTTTGAGAGGGGCAGGAGCTTCCTGCTTTGTCTTTGGCACCAGCTCAGTCAAAAGCTACAGTGGTTTTCTAAGTCATGCATTCATCCAAGCACACAGAGAATGTTGAGCATCTACTCTTTTCCAGAGGTTAATCCAGGCATTTGGCTAAAGCAGTGAAACACATGCAGCCCCACCCCCAGGACAGCACAGACAACAGAGATGCAACAGAGCCGAGGCAAGGGGAGCTCAGTGGAGTGGAGGTGTTCAGAACGACTCCCAGCGAAGGTGACATTTGAGCTGATCTTAAAAGACTAACAAGGGGGGCCGGCGCCGCGGCTCACTAGGCTAATCCTCCGCCTTGCGGCGCCGGCACACCGGGTTCTAGTCCCGGTCGGGGCGCCAGATTCTGTCCCGGTTGCCCCTCTTCCAGGCCAGCTCTCTGCTGTGGCCCGGGAGTGCAGTGGAGGATGGCCCAGGTGCTTGGGCCCTGCACCCGCATGGGAGACCAGGAGAAGCACCTGGCTCCTGCCTTCAGATCGGCACAGTGTGCCGGCCACGGCAGCCACTGGAGGGTGAACCAACGGCAAAGGAAGACCTTTCTCTGTGTCTCTCTCTCACTGTCCACTCTGCCTGTCAAAAAAAAAAAAAAACAAAAACAAAAACAAAAAACAAACAAAAAAAAAAACCAACAAGGGGGCCGGTGTCATGGTGCAGCAGGTTAAACTGCCACCTGCAACACCAGCATCCCATACGAGCACCAATTCGAGTCTCACTGCTCTACTTCTAGTTCCCTGCTAATGCACCTGGAAAAGCAGCAGAAGATGGCCCAGATGCTTGGGCCCCTGCACCCATGTGGGAGACCCAGTAGAGTCAAAATCCAGGCTCCAGATCGTGACCATTTGGGAAGTGAACCAGTGGATCTCTCTCTCTGTGACTCTGCCTTTCACAAAAATAAATAAACCTTTAAATAAATAAAAAAGAAACCAGACTAACAAGAAGTTAGAAAACAAGGAGGAAAGGCACACGAGGTCTCAGACAGCACACGCAAAGGCATGGTGACAGGACAGCATGGCCTATTCGGAAATGGACAGCTGGCCTCTGCTGAAGGGCACAGTGCGCGGGAAGACAGCAGTGCGGAGGTGAGCAGGGCGCCCATCACTCTCAGGAGACTAGAGCTCAGCATGACGAGGACAGTAAACACAGGAGCGAGTGGTCAACCATTCCTTCATCCAACCCACACAGCCCTCTGCTCCTGGACTGACCTTTCCCTAGCAAACCTGGACACACTCGCGGCATTCACCGCCCTTCACGGCTGTGTGCACACATTCGCCCTAACCCCACTGCTCGCCACGTGGGCCCGGTGAGTCCCTGTTCTCTCGTACACCCCCACCCCATGTAGAATCCAGGCTGCCTAAGAGCCTGTTCACCAGGCAGCCCCTTCACGTGCTTGGCTCCTAACAGCAGCAGAGGGCAGAAGAAGCCCACAAATACGTTGAAACAACTGTCACATCCAGATAAAAATAATCCTAAACACGGTCTTGATGCATTGCCTCTCAAACCTGAACATGCACACGGATGCAGGGGTCTGACACCAATGCAGATGCTAACTCAGCAGCTGGGGGCTGATCCTGAGACCACACATTTCCCACAAGCCCCCCGGCTATCAGCAGCTAAGCAGTGCTGCTGCCTGGAGAACATACTTCGGGCAGAGAGAATAGCACTTTAGATTATCCGTGCTGAAAGATTTCTTTCTCAGATTGCCCATTTATCACAAACCAGTACTTTCAGAAAGTCTACCAAAGATGATTTACAAGGAAAGACATCGAAAATGTAAGTTCCAACTGCGGATCCCTGGATTCAGTAAACACAATATTCCTCCCACCAAACGACACGGGTCAGCGGAGTGAGCGCGCCCGCCATCTGCTCCCTTGAAGACAACGCCGACTGCAGAGACGCATGAGAGAGAAAGCATGGCAGGCCCAGCGTCTATCGCCAGCTTGTATGCACTACGTGGGGAACAGGCACAGCAAAAGAATGCAAGGAATTTCCTTTCCAGCTTCGTGAATATATTCTTCACCCACATGGAGCTTATGGGGCCACAAGCCCCATAAAACGGAGCACTGCGGTGTAGCAGGTTAAGCTGCTGTCTGCAATGCCCAGCATCCCACACCGAGCCCAGGCTGCTCTGCTTCCCATCTGTCTTCCTAACTAATGCACCTGGGAAAACAGCATAAGATGGCCCAAATGCTTGGGCCCATGCGACCCACTTGGGAGACCCAGAGGGTCTGGCCAGACTCTTGGTCACTCTATCTTTCAAATAAAATAATTTTTTTAATGGGGCTTATGGAATATAGGGAGGTTTTGTTGGTCTTAGGTTCACCTTACTCCATTTTTAACTGACACATAATAATTGTGTAAACATGCGGGAGGACATGACCTTCTGAGACAGGGATACATGGGTGACAAGCAAACCGGGGTCAGTGGCAGAGCCATCACTGCAGGTGCTTATGGTTTCTCTGCGGTGAGACGTGGACAGTGGTTTCTGACAGTGCCCCCCCCCCCCCCCCCGTGAGCACCTACCTTGCCACTCTGCCCCGAAGGTCTCCCAAGCCCGAGAGCTGCCGCATCTCCAAGGTCTTTAAGGCAGAATTCGTTCCGTAGCTAATGTTGTCCCTGGCTCGGATCTGCTCCTGGAGCACCTGACGACACAAAACACCAGAGAGGGAGGGCTCAGGACCTCACAGAGCCAAAGGCCACAGCAACAGCGCTCTAATTCTCTCATAGCAGGCTCCAAGTTAAGTCACCTGATAGACACATATACAGAAAACCAGGGGCTGAGGAGGGAGGGAGGGAGAGAGAGAGAGAGAGAGAGAGAGAGGAGAGAGAGACCTAAGACAGCACTCCACAACCAAGTCCCTTAATTTACCAATAAAAACCAAGATCCTTTTTCATTATTATTTCTTCCTTAATAATGAAGATTCTTTTTTTCATTCTTTTCCCATTTATTTGAAAGGCAGAGAGACAAACACAGATCTTCCATCTGCCAGTTCACCCCCCAGATGGCTGTAACACCTGGGGCTGAGCCAGACTGAAGCCAGGAACCAGAAACTCAATTTAGGTCTTCCATGTGGGTGGCAGGGACCCAGGGTACTGGAGTGGAACTCGAACCCAGGTACTACAACACGGGATGCAAGCATCCCAGACAGTTTCTTTTCAACATGCTATTTGCTGTGTCCACAGGTGAGGTGCAAAATGGTGTACGTTTTTAATTTTTTACATTTCATTTTCTAATTTCTTTTTTGATCTAAGAATATCTAGAAAGCCAAGAACTACTTAAAATTATGTTTCTTCATTTCCAGGAAGTTTAGCTTTCTTGAGCCATATTTATTATTTATAACTGCACTGGCCTACAATAAAAACTATAGCCTGTAAAAAATTCATATTTTTTAATATGTTAATGTTTGCCTTGTGGCACATGGTTTTGTTGTTGTTGTTGTTTGCCTCTCAAATAAATAAATTGTAAAATAGAGAGAAAGTCCCTATCTGCTGATTCACTCCCCAAATGCCTATAATGGCAGAGACCAAAGCTAGCAGCCAGGAACTCAATCCAGTTCTTCCATATGGGCGGCAGGAATCCAATTACTTGAGCCATCACCACTGCCTCTCAGGGTCTCCATTAGCAGGAAGCTGGAGTCAGAGAGCAAAGCCGGTACTGGACCCAGGCATTCTAATGTGGACACTTTACCTTAACTGCAAGGAGAAATACCTGCCCCTGATTTTTTTTTAATTCCATAGATATGCAAAAATATGAATTCTCTATTTGAGGACCAAAACGTTAAACACGGCATTAGACTGAATTTCTATTTTTTTCTCTAGGTCATATTTATTTGAGTCTACTAAATCTTCCAGCTGTGAAAAGGCATAAGGAATTCTGAAGCTGTGAAATATTTTCATCAAGTTCTCTTCACATTTTGAACACTTTGTACTTTATCTATTTAGGTACCATGTTATGCGGTACATATAGATTTACGACCAGAAGTGTTTGTTCTATTAAATCACCTTCCTTATCCTATCAAGTGCTTTTAATGTGAAGTTACACCTCACCTGATATTAACATTGCTAGTGTTTTATAAATAATAAGGCAAAAGGGACCTAACTCTGCCTTACAGAGATCGTCATCTTTCCCGCCTACCAATGGCAAATCGAGCACTCCAGCAAAGAGAGAGATCATGCTAACACAGGTGACTGTGGCTTAAAGCCTAAAGCGGTCCCCTAAAGAAAATTTGGCCCCAGGATGTAGCCATCTACTTAGCAGAAATGAAAGCAGGGGCCAGCTCTGTGGCACAGCGGGTTAAAGCCCTGTTCTGCAGCACCAGTATCCCATATGGGCGCTGGTTCGAGTCCCAGCTGCTCCATTTCCAATCCAGTTCTCTGCTGTGGCCAGGGAAAGCAGTAGAGGACGGCCCAGGTCCTTGGGCCCCTGCACCCACATGGGAGACCCAGAGGAAGCTCCTGGCTCCTGGTTTCAGATCGGCACAGCTCTGGCTGTTGCAGCCATCTGGGGAGTGAACCAGCAGATGGAAGACCTCTCTCTCTGTCTCTCTCTCTCTCTCTCTTTCTCTCTCTCTGCCTCTCCTTTTCTCGCTGTGCAACTCCTTCAAGTAAATAAATAAATCTTTTAAAAAAAAATGAAAGCAGTCCAACTCAATTTGATACACCTTTGGATGACTTAGAATCTGTTCCTATGTCTACATTACAAAGACCCAATCCAAGAAAGCAACTCTGCTGTCTTCCTCTAGGTGAATCAGAAGGAAAGAAAACCTTGAGAAAAAGCCACCGACAGCCTCGTGAATCACAGCACCTGACCTGAACCACCGCCAAACGGAGTGGAAAGAGCACCTGTGAGACCAGCCTGGGAAAAGTGTCAATCAGTTAGCCAGGAAGGGGGTGAGCAGGTTCCCCTAACACCGCAGGGCCACCACTTTGATGATACAGCAAGAACGAGGGCCCTAGCTGAAACGGAATGGCTTTTGTGGTGAGCTTACAAAACAAAGGACTAGACAGAGGCAGTACCAGGCCGAATGCCTTCTCCTGGAAGACAAGTCACTTCATAGGCAAGACTAAATTAGGAAGCCGTGGAAGATCGTGTGGAAGAAAGTACTGAGATCTGGGGTCAGCTCGCTTGACACAAACTTTCATGTTTTGTGTGCCTCTGCAAATCTGAGATTTATAGCCGTGAAATTTGGGACAGTTTTGTTTGCACTGATGTATAACTATGCACTCAGGAAAGGCAAACTATTTTCTACTGTTTATAAGCCTTCAACTAGTAGTTTTACCATCATGCTATTCTTACACTTGCTATTTTATACTTCAAATGGCTACATATTTTCAAGATATTTTTGTTACCCTCAGGAATCTCTTGTATATTTTACTACTTAAAACGCTATTTTTAAATAGTATATGTCTCTATTTTATATCTAAAACACAGAAATATAGACAGGAAAGGCAGCTTGTTGCTAAACAAATACTGTTATTCTATCGGGATTAACTTCACACACCAATTTTATAAACTTGCTCTATAGTGTAAATATGATTCACCTATGGCTGGCACCGAGGCTCACTAGGCTAATCCTCTGCCTGCGGCGCCGGCACCCCGGGTTCTAGTCCCAGTTGGGGCGCTGGATTCTGTCCTGGTTGCCCCTCTTTCAGGCCAGCTCTCTGCTGTGGCCCGGGAAGGCAGTGGAGGATGGCCCAAGTGCTTGGGTCTCTGCACCTACATGGGAGACCGGGAGGAAGCACCTGGCTCCTGGCTTTGGATCGGCACAGCGCCAGCTGTGGTGGCCATTAGGGGAGTGAACCAACGGAAGGAAGACCTTTCTGTCTCTCTCTCACTGTCTATAACTCTCTCTCTGTTTATCTCTCTCAATGTCTAACTCTGCCTGGCAAAAAAATTAAAAAATATATGATTCATTTATTAAAATAAATGCTCAACAACAAAAGTAAGTAAATAAATATGAAGGCAAACCCTTGCTTGCTAATTTGGAGATTGCACCTACTGTTCTCAGCATTTCAGGTACCTTAACCCATTTAATCCTCCTCACACCGCATGAAGGAGGCACTTTATCATGCCCACGTCGCACACAGCGCAGTCTCTAAGAAGCGAAGCGCCTTGCTCCGCTGCATTTTTGTTTGTCTTCGCAGCTCACTGCCCACTCATGGTTTACATTGCTCTTGTTGTCTTTGCTCCCCCTCCTTGCGCTTGGTCTGACAGGTTCCACCAGGCGGCCAGGTGCTCCTTCTCCTCCCTTGTTAGCTGGGGAGGAGGGGAGCGGGTTCCTGGACACTGTCCTCCGTTCCATGACTGGCTACTCACTGCTTCCAATTTGCACACATTTGCACATCTCCTCCGGGCCGTGCCTGCACAGCTTCCCCGGTGTGAGACCCTCAGCGCCCTTCATGCCTGCCAGCTTCACCCTTCAGCCTCAGGTGACTTATCTGGAAGAATGTTGCTGCCTTCCCTTCTTGCCCTTCCCACACTCCCAACTAGACTTTGCTATTGCAAGAATTCCAGCTGGACTATTATTAGCATTTTGCTTGCACAATGTCTCCTGTGTTCCACTGTTTTTTCTTTCTTAGCACTTTTGCTACATAGTCCCAGGCAGGGATCAATATACGCATACATGAAATGATACTGTTCTTTTGTTAAGGATTTCTGATGACAGCACATCTCCTTGTCATTTGCTCCTAACTGGGAGCTGTCTCCTGATGCACTCACTGCATTTTAGTTAGAGCCCTTTCCCTAGCACTTTCCTCAGAACAGGCACTTGGAAGAAAGAGCCTCTGAGTCTCCGCCATGCAGGGTGGCTGATAAATTGGTGGGATTCAGATTTCTCAAAGGAAAGACCTTTCCTCTCCATGAACTCCGACGTTACTGGTGCATCTGGGGCTTCTTCCTCTAGGAGCAAAGTATTGGCTCCCGATATCTAGAAGCTTGTAAGACTTTTTTTTTTCTTTATGTGGATTTCAGGAATTTGGGGATGTGGTTTGTCCCCCAAAGGGTCATTCACCACAAGCTTGGTTCTCACAGTGGCAATGCTGGGAGACAGGTGGGGCTCAGTGGGAGGGGCTTAGGGCAATGAGGACGTGCCCTTGGAAGGAACTGTGGGACCCAGGTCTCTCTGGCTTCCTGTCTGGTGATGTGACTGCTCCCTCCTGCCATGTGGTACAATCGCCATGAGGCATTTACCACAGCCAAACTGACACCAGTGCCACAAGTGTAAATACGTAATATACTCCTGTTAGCTATCTTTTTCCTTTCCTTTGGGCTTTTTTTTTTTTTTTTGGTAAGTATTATACACATATGGAACAGTGTGCTTCTATACAGTTTTTAGAGCTTTCAAACTTCCTCGTAATAAGCAGAAGTCAGAGATTTGGGCAGTCTGTGTTTTCTTCATTGTGAACTTGCTTGGGGCCGCAAGTAGAACGACAGTGACAGTAAAATGTCTATTACACTGAAAGAATTTTAGAATTTCCAGACCTATCTGCTACTTCCTGTAGTTTCCAGCTTTTTCTGAATGAACTCGCTCTATGAAGAAGAATGCTAAATAGTTACAATCACCTGTGAATGACAAAATGTTAGTCATCGGAGCATATTCCTGCAAGGAACTTCAGCTCTGACTAATCTGGTGCTGGCACTCTC